TGCTATTAACAAAAAATACAATAGATTTATGCTATTAAAATACCTGTTGGGGTAGAGATTTATTAATAAATTATAGTTTCAAATGAATATAAATCAAAAGTAAATAGTAAAATGGACAGCTAGAGGAAATGATGTTTTAACTCCATTTCCATTCTCCATATCCTTTAAAAGAAATAGTTCTTCAACCACGCAACCTGATCTTAAAAGATTTTTGTGCAAGAGCTTTCACCAAAATCTGGAAGGCTTCAAGAAGTAATGTTCAATCAGGCAGATTTTAGAAGCTAGGAGTGCTTTGTGGTCAGCTGGCTATGAAATCCTGCTGGCTAGCCACAGTCTTGAGCATGCAATCTTGCTGCTTTACATCTTTCGGAAAGGGCTGAAGGGTGGGGAGGTTGCACTCAAGCATATATTAAGGAAGACAATAAAGCCTTGGACTTTTTCCCTTCTTATCCATCTCCCCTCCTGTTTCTCCTGTGCGATGAAGAGAGCTGTAGTGCCTTCAGCCAGTCCTGTAGTCTTCACAAAATACACCCAGGGGGTTAAAGTCCTTCCCCCATCCCCAACCACCTGAGGTCTGCAAAGGAAAGAGCTGCTGAAAGCCTGCTAACAGGAAAAGGTCAGGAGCAGTGTATTATATTCTGTATGTTTGGATTAGCCCACAATAGCTAAATAAACTGATTTAATGTCTAACGACATTTTCAAACAATAGCTAATAAAGTTATCCAGAATATGCAGACAAAAGATGCACACAGACACACCATAATATGTCTCTAATACATCTACACAAGCAATGAACTAACAGTGAATTTCAGCAGTTTGGTCATTCAAATTACAGGTCAAATACAAAGGAGCCCAAGTAAAAAAAACCTATTGAATAGAAAAGACACAAATACTCCTGCCTTGCTCATTATTATCACTCCCATTTGTATGCAACTATCAGGCTTTGGCCTGTGTTTTTAGCATAGAACCATGTTTTTGAAACAGAATTATGGTCTTTTCAAAATAAATAAATAAAAGGCATGCTACTGAAGTGAATCACAAGCTCTGAATACTTTTGGAAAGCTGCTCTGAATTAGCTGGGTTAGCAGGTCTGAGGGATTTTCTCTCTCAAACCACATGAGGATCCTGAGTCATGTCAACAGAGAAAGGAGCTGCGATGGATCCAGATGCTATCGCTCCTCTCCCATCCTGTTTGCCACTGACCCACTGGAGGTTCCCACTCCTGCAGTGATGGAGCCAGCACAAGGAAAACAACATTCATGTACCTGTCTCAGCAGCCTGAGTTCACTACAACACCCCTTAAAAGGGTGCACCTTTGTGGTCCATGTTAGAAATCAAGCTGCAAGAGCGCAGACACACGCGTGCCTCTGCCGAGGCTGCTGCGAGGCCAGTGCCCCTCAGCAGAAAGGAGGCTGGGACATCCCGTCCTCTGCATCCAGCCACTGCAGCCAGTCTCACCAGAGCTCCTTGGTGAATGGCCCTTAGGGGAAACTGGTTGAATTTCTCAAACCAGAGAGGCTGGTTCTGAAGAATGAATGTATGATTAATGGGGTTGCAGCACTGGTACAATTGTGGTCGCCTTTGTAAAGTTTTTCATCAAAGTTCTTACAACCTGAAATATTGTAGCAGATGAAAAAGAAATGAAAGGGACTAAAAGTTGTGCTCATATCAAAGGCAGTTCTAAAGCAACCAATCTAAAATTTGCAAATAAGTCTTGCTTACTTCAGCTGATTTGTGCATTCAATTTTGGGGTTTTTTAAAAGTAATTGCCAAAGCATTTTCAGACATGTTATGACCAAATATGAACTTGCTGAATATACTCACACTAATATAAAACACAAATAAACAGTCCTGAATGAATCCCATTAATATTACGTCTTACTTCTACACTTAAAACAACAGTATAGAAAAAATAAGAAGAAATATCAGCAGGGACTGGCTGCATTCTGTGCAATGAGTGAGATCGTGGCCCACACCACAGTCTCTTTATCATGTACCACCAACTGTTCGTGCTCCTCTCAAGGTACCACCACTTCAGCTTCAGATAAAAGTATACTACGGAATATTTCTGATAATCCATTTATACAAATAACTATTCTTTATAGACAATTTACACATGGGTATGAAGGGCCCAAATGTATACACACCAATTCACTAGTGCTATAGTGATGCTTCAACAAAACCACTTCAGCTCATAAAAATAATATTCTGGCAACCACAGTCCTAAAGAACTACTTTCACTTTAGCCTTGTGATTTGTTTAATCCATCTGAATCACTAACTCTGCCTAAGTCTAAGTTACTGCATAGAGCACTCCTAAAAAATGAACTTTTCAAAGTCGTTATATTGCCAAACAAAATTGAACAGAACTTCTTAGGTGTTGACTTATTTAGCTCCTGTAAGTAAAAAATGTTACCAGAACTGTCTATCCATTCATACCACATACAGCAGCATGTCAGAAACATCAGCACCTCAAACACATGGTGACTTCATCATCTGAACCACTACAAATTATTCTCTAAAGAAAAACCTGCACTGCTCAAATTCAACTTTTATATGGACAAAGTTACTTGCAATTATGACCTTTAGGAGTGTGCGTTAACTCCACAGAAACATCAGCAAAGAGAACTGTATTTGGGGGAGGATGGACAGGGAACTGCCATATTTAATTCAGCATATTAATCAAGTCAATAGCAACAGTATACTGCATCTGAAAATTAAGCATGTGAGGAGACCCCCTGAGGCTTCTGTGATTACTGCTGCTAAGTGGCAGTAAAGAAAAAGTGCAGTAGGTTATGTACGTGTTTAATCATACTAGACTCCTGTCCAGCTAAACATCTACCATGCACACAATAAAAATATCTGGCTTGTGTTTAAAGGTGTTTTTAAGTCTGGGCTAATTTTCCTGGCAGGTCACAGAAGAGGCTCCACCTTCACTGAGGCTGGCACTTGCTTACTTTGCAATGAGGCAGAGCTAAAAAATAAGTCACTAAAGTAAACCTCAAATATCCTTGTTCACTATTTCAGTCAGTCCCCTTGCAGCTGTCTGGCCAGGACCAAGGCTCAGCACAAAGCCCCATGGGTCTGCCACAAGGAATACCTGGGCAAGCTCTACGAGTATGGGTATTGTTCAAATTTGGGAGTTTTTGGTCAAAGCACAACAGTCTCTTCTGCTCCAACTACCCCAAGTTAGTCCAGACGATCAGTGACAAGTGACATAGCATAATTGTGTAGGGGATTATGTATCTTTGCATTCAAACAAGCCTCGGGAAAAGTGTGCTGACCAGGATAACATAAAAACTATTCGGTTGTAGGCACTGCAAACTGAAATAAGTGATGACTGGTGGGGCCTGTAAGAGCAAGCAGTCGCCTCTATAAAACCAAGAGAGAAGCAGACTCGAAGGAGCCACATTATTACCTTCTGCTCTCCCTAGGGACCGAAGGAGTACTATTCCATCTCCCAATCTCTGCATTTTTCTCCTGCAAAAAGCCCATATGCTAAAGTTTATGAGGTCTGAATTTCAAAAGGAAAGCACACTTCACCTTAAACTCCATGCCCAACTGTCACTGGTATTTTATCAAATGTAAATCAACAAAGTTTGGGGGTTTTGCTCTGTGTTTCAAAATACAAACCACAAATAACGGCTTAACCAAACGAGTGATAAGCATGAAATATTACAAACCATTTAAAAAAAAGGAAAAAGCATAATCCTGAACTGCCCCACATTGTCCCATCATAGAAATATTACTTCTGAGATTCAAGAAGTGCTTGTTTATTTCACAGTTTAACCAGTCTCCAACAATAGAGCATCTAATGGAAAATATTAACGTGGGGCCTACAAACAGAGCCACTATGTTATAAAGATTGTAAATAGAGACTTGGGGTTTTTTTACTTTAATGTAAACAATAAAAGCTTAGCCAAAAGACACAACAAAACACAAACAAAAAAAACCCCTGAACTGGGCAAATACTTAAATCATAAATACTGACAATCAAAAAAGTTGTCAGGTGTTAACCTTAGAGTCTGTCAGAGTCCTGTTATGAAGTTTTAGCTTTTAAGATACTGTAAGAATAAAAATAAGCAACTAATGCTATAAAACAAGAAAACACATGTCTGAAATACACTGAAGAAAATACACATGCTACATACATGCCTAACATGAATAACAAATTCTTCATTTATTTTAGGGGTCAACTCCTTTTTGGTTGATATGAAAAACATACATTACACTTTACTGCTTTGGGGAGAAGGAAAACACATTAATTAATTCTTTATTACAGTTTAAAAAGGCAAATTATTTAAGGACTATTTGTATTCAACCTAAGTAGACAGAATCATGATATTACATGCTTTTTATTCAGATGGAAAAAAATTTACATTTACCTACCATCTCATTAAAGTCAGATGATACAGCAGTAGCATTTTCCTTATTTTTTTTTTTCCTTTTAATTAAAATTGTCTTTTTGAATGCTTCAAATAATTCTGAGGTTTACAGTAAATTATTTTTTAAAGCATACATTGGCTCTTTTTCAGGTCTAATGTCGATTACTGTCTAGAGACTCTGCAGAGGCTGAGTGGATGTTACAGGCTTTTGCTAAACAGCATTGTTTTGGAAAGGCGGGAAGGGATATGAGTCCCGACAAACACAGCTGTGATGAGTAGCTCTGAAGAAAATCAAATTATGCTAACATAATATTTTTGCCAGTTTGGCTTATTTTGCTCTATGTTTATTATTCTATTAACACACACTGCTTCGCAGAATAGCTACTCCTATGGTAAAAATTCCTTTTCTCCTAACAAAAAAGCTCTCCCAGTTTGATGCAGCTGCTATTCGCCTCCCGTTATGTAACTACACCAAAGACTGAACTGTTCTCCAGCCACAGTAACGTCCTTTCAGTTTGTCCTTTCCCAAAGACGACCCCTCAAAACCCCTTTCACAATTATGAACATGGGTAGGCAGGACAGTTCCTCATGGCAGGATCAGGTCCCCCCCCCCGGTTTTTGCAACAGCCCTGTGCACCAATGCCAGCATGCAGCAGAGGCTTAAAGGATTATGTGTATGTATGTGCAGGGGAAGTCACATGTATACACAGAGTTCAGTGCCACCACCGAGGGCAGTGCAGCGGCGTCAGCCGTCTTTTTCTAAGCTCTCCCGTTGTTTATTCCTACTAGAGAAATGAGATATTGGACTTTCTGCTGAGCTCACTTTGAAAAGGGTCTGACTTGATGGGCAAAATGTTTCTGCCAGCCATCAAGGAACAACAAGGCTGTGCCTACCAGGTGAGATTTTAAGTTCACCTTTTAGATTGCTTTTGGTATTTAAGAGCAATTTACTTTAATGTATATAAACCTTGGATCAGTGCAAATGAATAGCACCATTGTTTGAAACCAACGTCCAGTTTTTAGATAAGAGTTCTTTAGGAAAAACGTCATTGTTTAAATTTGTCATGTTCCTACTTTTATCAGTTTGTCCAAAAGAAAGTTCCAGTAGGCTTTTTCTTATGCATATCAATTTCCATGTTCTTGCACATTAAGCTGGATTTACTGTTTCTTTATGTACTGAGTATGTGCTTTTAAGTTTTTTATTAATCACTCTCAATACAAGATCTCAATTTTTCTGTATATTAAATCTAGAAGTATAACAGTATAGCAGAAGTATAGCAGAGGAACTGATCAAAAGTTAATCTAATTATTTTTTAATAAAAAGTTCTCAATGAAAGTGAGATACCTATGAATCTTCTATTCATAGCATAAGAATAAAATACACAGCAAACCAGACTGTAATATGACTGCAAAACAGCTAAAAGACAGCAGTAACTAATTAACTAATTAATCACAATTAAGCTGCATTTTCATTTATATTATAAAAGAAGGTAAGCCAAAGGCAAACTTCAAAGCACCAAATATCTCCTAACTGCTTTCAGCAGAAGCTTTGAATAAGCAGAATGACTGTTGTCCTTTTTAGCCTCCATAAGCATTTTTAACGATGCTAATCACCATGATATTTGCAAATCTGTTTTCTACTGTACTTAGCAGAAGACCTACTTTCCTTTAGGGCTCTGTCAGCTGACCTTTATGTCCTTTTTATACATGCTTAAAGCAGCATAAAAAGGCAGCACCCCATTTCTCATGTTAGCATCACATCCTAAACGTATTTGACTGGCCCCATCATTTAAGTCAAAGCTGTATCCCGTGGATTTCAACAGACATTGGACTGATTCTGAAGTGATAAAAAAGTTGTTAATCAAATGTCTGGACAAAGTGATTCACGTGAACGTCTGTGTTTGTAATGTGCACATCAGAGCGATTCATTTGAACTTCTGCATGAAGGATCTGAACATCAGATAAGACTTTATCAGAATATTCTACGTATTTTCCACAACAGCTAAAACGTGAGGCTCACTGGAGTGAAGACAGGTTAGTAGGCTGCAGACACCTCCCTACCATCTGTAGTTTACTGTTGGTATGCACCCTGTGTCTGTGTGGGCTATGTAGAAACAACCATTTCTCAATCATTACTAAGAAACTGGCTCTGGGACAAACTAATTACTTCTCAGACTTCCACCCATTAGCACAGGAAGCAGATTATAAATTTATTTTATATATCAAGGCTCTATACAGCTCCTGCAGTAACAAAATCTGCTTCAGAAGTCATGCTTCCTTCCTGTGGTGTGCAGGATTTTTAAAAATGTGTGTACCTATCAAGGACACCAAGAAACCTTAAAAAAACCCCTTCAAATAAAAACCAAAAAAGTAATTGCTGAATGGCATGTGAATTGATACACTGCAATTAGTAAGCACTAGTATTTATTTCAATGTAATTTATTTGGCTGTAGTCCCAGGAATTTGTACAAATCCTAACCATGGCTTCCCAAATATCATGGATTGGACAGAATGGGGGTAACAGGTGGCTACAGGTAGTATATGCAAGGAGTAACTTCACAGATGTTTTTGTAATGGGAGATTAGGTTTAGAAAATCCTGGTTTACAGAGGTCCCAGACTCCTTTGCACTTTTCTTTCCTGAAAATTACTTTTGGTTTTTGTCCTTGGAAACATTTTCCCAGCCTTATTATAAGCTATAAAAAAAAATGACACCCATTTAAGAATAACTAAGGAAGCATTCCCATCCACACACGTGTGAAATATGGCCAAGGACTACAATCAAACCATTAGATACTTAAACCTGTCAAACACTTTGCAAGCCTCCTAGAACAGAAGGTGCTAAAGGTTATTACTGACTTTTTCAAGTTTGATGGAAGAGTCATTCCATACATATATAGGTGCAATGGGCAGCCTCATAAGAAATCAAGATTACTGTAGAAAATTTTGATGAATAAGAGGTAAAAAAAACCCTGTCACTGATCAAGTGGAGTCAAAAGCGGCACATGACAAGCAGTAGATGGAAAAATCAGACCACATTCATGTCAGTACAATGCCTCTTAATTCATTTCAAGCCCCTGGTAAATGAAAATTCCTACTCCAAATCTTACAGTCTAATAATAGCCACCCTTGCATTAATACCACACTAGCACTCCTAAAATGTTCAAGTAATATATTTTATTCAGACATTATAAATGGAAGAGTAAAATGCAACCAGTAAACATGCAAGTTTATCCAAGAGGCAGCTAGAAAATGGTATTTCCTTCACCAAATAATAGCAATTAAAAGCCGCAGAAGTGTCAAGAATGTCTCAGACTTTTGCTGACAATTATCAGAAAGATACCTGTTTATCTGCAACAGATGTGACAAATTGTGAAGTCATTTCAGCCATAGCATAGCTCTGCTGAGGGCTGATTTTCCCCTTCAAACTCCAAACACAAACCAGTTTTATAGTCATTCTTATAAATGTTATCTGCGAAAGAACTATGTCAACATTTTTGCATTTACTGGAAACCTGGTCCCTGCAGTCTGAGTCTGTTTCACAAGAGTTTCCTACACAGCCAACAGTAATGTCTTGTTGAAAAGTCACCGGGTCAGCTTTCTCTGATGTTTCTAATAGGAAATTACATTATATTATAGTTTCCAGGAAAACCACCATCTGTGCCTCCTGTCAGTCTTAGCAACTGGCAGCAAAATATCTGTGGGGAATGTTTTCACACTGCCAAATTCCAGCAGCGTTCCCTGTCACACGTCCCAAGCATGGGTGAAGCTAACAAACAGCGGGTTAAGATAAGAGCTGCTGTTTCCACCCTGCCAGCTCACCAGGCCAACTCATTTACAGGGTAATTCCAGCAGTCAGTGCACCTTTGACACTCCAGCCCTGGGATAAATTCAGTCTGCAATATCTAGAATAGGGAGAAGTTGCACAGATTTTCATTGGCAAGAACTGGTCATCTTCACTGGAGTGATGCTGATTCACGTAGATTAAAAGTGGAATGTTAAGTTCATATGCATTCCTTACCTGGAACCTGAGCAACTCCAAAATGCTGGAAATGCAGAGATCTAGCCACTTGCTACCTAGCAAGAGGTGCAAATGATCTGTTTGCACCTATGATCTAAATAAAAAATTAGTTAAACAAAGAAATTTACCATAAAACTGTCCTGTAATTCTATATTTTCTCAAATATTAAAAAGGCCTAAACAGAAAATTTTAAATTCCTCTCCATGATCTGATGATCTTTACACAGAAAAAGGAACTTATGTGTTTCGTCAACATTTCTCCCCCAAAACCAGTCTTAACTGACTTGTTCTGCAGCTTAAGTGTCTGTAGATACTGGAGGGAAGAAAACCCTGTAGTTAAACAGTGATGCTTATCATGTAAGAAAGATCCTTTAATGAAATCACCCAACTAGTGTATTCCATTCCTTAAGTCAGAAAAAAATAACTAAAATACTTTCATTAAAAACAGTGAGACAAAGTTTATCTACTATGTAAATCTACTAAGTCCCAGCTACTCTGAACATCAACACTGTGATAGTAAGAACGCTTTCTGAAAGTGTGTGTGTAATCTTTGTTAGATCCATTGAGTTGAAGTATTTCACATTAAAAGAAACTGTAATTTACATTCAGCTTTAAATTGAATTAAAATATTTGCTAGAGTTAATGGGCTTATATGCTTTCCAAGAAAATGAAATTGTATGTTTTAATTAAGTCTTTTGGTTTCTGTGGCTCACAGAAAGCACAGTGGAAATTCTACCACAGGTTAAATTTTTTAAAAGACTTTTTCACTGAACCAGTTCAAATATATATCAACTTTCAATCATCTTGATAATGAATTTTATTTAAGTTTGTTGCCACTTAGTTTTAAAGTATGATAGCTGCATCAAAATCAGCTTCCAAGTGCTCTGAAAACATGGACCAGGAACTGCAGTAGTACTAATTGGTTGTTCGTACTCAACATTCTGAATAGCACCATCTACTCTGCTGACAGCTAAAAGCCATAATTTCTTCTATTCCAGTTAGTCAACTTTATAAAATCCGGAGCTTGAAACATCTTATGAAGCCTATTTTCTAATAGAACACTCATTCTAATTGTTACTGTTATTTAACACACCATAAGTCACTGAAAGTTAATATGAATACCAGGAAAATTACAGGGGGTTGTTTTGCATGTAACTCAGTTTCTTAAGAAAAGTATCACCTAGTGGATATTTGGGCATCTCCAAATTGGATCTTATTTCAGAAACTCAGGCAGCTGAGGCTTGTAGATTAATATAGGTAACCACTGTGTAAATTCATTCTGCCTGATGGAAGACTATCTTTAGAACTGCACAAAAATGAGATATTTCAATTTTTGCAGTAATTAAATATTAAGCCACAACACATCTACAGTGTATTAAAAGCTGTACTGTTCATTCTATGGTGAACAAAAAAGAAAAGATATGTCCTGTTTTCCATATAGAGGCTCTTTTGGCATCCAGTGATAAAGCTAAGTCAGGAAGAGGTGGAGCAGGAGAGCAGTCACACTCATCTGATAGTGGGACACTGAGAGAAGTTAACAAAACATGATCGAGTTCATAGAGTTAACCCGTGCAGAGCCTCCAGTGCAGCTGTTCCTCAGCAGCTGGGAGGAGGGCACAGCCATCGGCAACCTAATGCCCACAGAGGCTCTATCACAAAAACACAAACAGCATCAAAAAGAAGTTTTCTGGAGTGGTAGATGCGCCTGGCAGATAGCATCTGTGTCTGAACATGGGACTCTCTCCACACAAATCTTTAGGGGTCTTCATGCTGGACTATCTCCTCTCCACAGAACTTACTCTCCTCATCTGGCAGAAATTTCATTTGTCTCTTTTTACCCGTAATACTTGGTTATTACAACCTTCCAGACCACTACCAC